GAAAATCCGGTTTTTTTCCCGAGGAAGGGTACTGGATTAATTGGCAAGCGGGTACCATTGCGTAACACTTACTAGAAATTTGTGCTTTTTGCGTTTTCTTCAATTCATAATACGCCTAGATTGTCTTAGTTTTTTGCCCTCTGTCCCCCAACTCATATCTGTTATTTAGCTCCATCTATGTATGTATTCAGCACTGGCTTACTTGCCTGTTTCTTTTCTTTTTTCTTCCATCATGGATGATTTCATTAGTAGCATAAAGTGTGCCATCATTTTGTCGTCCGTCAGCTTTTCACATGGTGCAACAGCAGCAGCTTTATCCTACTGTGAATTCCGAAGCCACCTTCTTCCGAAACGAACAGTTTTTGGATAATCATCAGGATCGCTCGAATTGTCGCCTTGAAGTTCGAATAACTAACAGCATCTCCAAATACTTTTTATCCTGAAATCTGCATGCCTTCAGTTTGAACCGAACATATTCGTCATGCATGCGCATAATCTCGTCGAGAAAGACCGTATGGAGGAAGATGCTTTTTTAGCGGATCTTGGATACAGCGATTAAAAGTCCAACTTCTCTGATGAATTATTTTGAATGAGAGCAAATGAAGCCAGGAGGGAGGGGAGGAAGAGGGGAGCAAGAGGAGGGAGGAGGGGGAGGGGGAAAAGAGTCGGAGGTAGCATTTTGAGTGACAAAAAGATGTGAAAATGAAAGAAATTTTAAAAAATTCAAAGATTTCGGTACCTTCAGCGTGTGGATTTGAGCATAAATCATTACAATATGCAAGTTTTGGCCTTCCATTATATATTTGCTATTTTCCTACACTTCGAAAGAGAAATTCTAAGGTACATGAATTAAAGTAAATATATGGGTTATCCACCGGCTTTAATTTGCAGATATAAGAGGATGAGACAGAAGAGTGCGGGAAATCGAAATGCGCAAATTTATACAAACAACGTTAATCAGTTCGTTTAATAATTGGCGAAATTGAAGATTTTATGATAATAATTCAGGTAAGCGGATATGCATCGATGCCGATCACATCCTATACAAATCAGCAGCAACAGCAGCAGTACATTGCAGCACCAAATATCCCAGTTCAATTCAAAGGTACCACAGGTCAGGGTGGGCCGGATGTGCACAGCCAAACAAGTAGTAACGATGGTTCCAGTGGAAGCGAACATCGAAGAGGGTTTGTTTCTTAATTTCTTTTTCTGCATTTTAATACTTTTCACAGTTATTCCAAAATACAGAGCAGCGATTTTTACGCCATTTCGTGGCTTAATCTTATGAAAATCATAGTAAACTTAATGGACCAAAACGTCTTATCTCATTCGTGCCTCCTTCCCGCATTCTTTGTTGCTTTGTATCCAAACATCCCTTCGACACTTTGTCTTCCAAGGTCAACCTGGATGCTTCAATTGGCTTGTCAAAAAAGACGGTGGTTTGTTCAGGGTGTTTGGCTGTACGCTTAATTTTATGAAAATCGTAGAAAATTTGAATTTAACTTGTCAGAAAAGAAGATGGCTTCTTTGCAGCGTTTGTTAGACAAGCACCATAAATACAAAGTTCGTTCGGGCAGTCATTGTAGGGATTCCATGTTACTGATGTTACTGGGAGGTTCTTATAAGTCAGCCGAAGCTAGCCCCTTCGATCCTGGGCCACATACCTTCAGTTAGTATCCACAGCTAGAAAAATACCAAGGTGTATTGGAACTTTTTTCACCTTAATACAGGAATTTTCTTCTTAGACGTGCGATATTACCGCCAGCGCCAATGCCATCGGCCCATTCAACCGCGGCGCCAACACATATCCAGAAAGGCACATCAATTTCTCTGGTTGGTGG